ATTATAATATTGTAATTATATTCTTTTGGGATTGATTTTGGGAGAAACTTGAAACATATTCGAACAAAGAGGGAAAAATCTTCCGAAGCTCGATTTCCGTGACTTAATGGGACTATTTCCACTAAATATGAATGATCCAACAGTATTTTTTACTTAAAAAAAATATAGTAATCTATCAAAATTTCGTATTTTCGTATATTTCATAAATAATAAAGAAAATTAACCACTGGAACCATATTTTCAATTATGTATAGGTAGGCAATACTCAGTGAAATATTAATTATTTATTTCCTAGAAAAACAAATGATTTTTTTAAAATTTTATTAAGATGAATAATTCCTTAATATTAATAAACGCACCACAGCGATTTTTTTAAAAAGAAGACTACCTTCGCTTCCATTTTTTTTTTTAACTCATGAATAATAAATGTCGGTAATTAGATGCTTTTGTCGGCCATGTTGACAAAAAACTATTTTTTTATTAAAAAACACTATTCACTGCGCTATTTATTTCACTGATATCACTGTCAATTTAATTCGAGATTCACTTCAGTAACGGTCAATTTATTTCTTATTCTCTCGGCGATAGTCTCTTCCTTTAAATACTCTTTTGTTTACTTTCTGGAACCTTCTGAAAACACCGGATAGTTAATTTTTTTCTTTGAACTGTTTAACTACTTTCCCAGAACGCAAGTACGACACACACATTTACAAATACGGCGCACATGAAGAAAGGCGCCCGCGGCTAGTTGGCGAATCGATAAGCCGTTCACGCACACGTGTCCCCGATCGCACACACACACACTCGTGCTCGCTACAATACCATGCATCGCCGAATATGGAATATTCTATTCGTTTATAACGAAAAAATTAATGCTAGTTTTGATAATTGTTTTCATCAATTTAAAATCAATACTTTATTTGGACTTGACGGGACTTGAACCTTGACGAAGCTCTTGTACAAACCAGAGTGGGTGGATCGACTCGCGCATTTCGATGATTTAGGGAGTCGGAACATAGGTTCAACCATAATGGGGGCGAGGGGAGTCCCTGAAAGAATGAAAGAGGGCAGCAGTTCCTTCAGTATAAGGCGGCCAACTTTATAATAAGACAATGCGGGACAACAAGACTGAGGATTTTTTGGAATTGTTGGTGGTGTATTTAAATCAGAAACAAACAACACTACTACTGAATTAAAATTTATTTTTAAAGTCATATTTTTCGCAGGAATGGCATTTTTTTTACTAGGTCTGCGTTTTGGTTCAGAATGTCCAAAAAGTTTTCACAGGTGCCCATATTAAATTTTAGGTAAATGTCTAGATGATGGCCTTTAGGGGTGGCTGGGATCGAATGAGGGGGTCTCCCCCACCACTGTACCATAAAAAGTTCGTGGCGGTCTCACCCCCATAAAAACTTATGAGGGTTAGATGGGGGTGGGGGTAGGGGATCGAAAGAGGGCGGTCACCTGAGTAAAACCCCATAAAAAATTTGGGGCGGTCTCACCCCTATAAAAAGTTATGGGGGTTGAAAGTTGATTATTTTGACAATTTTCAATTTTCATACACTATAATTCAAATAAAATTCAATAAAAAAATTATTTTCAAGCGGGTGGAGGTAGGGGATCGAAAGAGGGTGGTCACTTGAACAAAACCCGATAACCTAACCTAACCTAACCTAACCTACCCTATTGATAAAGATATTTAAATAATGTTTTATATAACTTTCTCAATATTTTTATGTATTTTTCATTAGTTTTACCTTTGAATATTGTTTAAGAATGACTATATAAATATTTACATGCCTAGAAATGTATAAAAATTGGCATATTTATTAACTTTGAACTCCCATAACTTTTTATGGGGGTGAGGCCGCCATGAAATTTTTTTTATGGTACGGTGGTGGGGGAGACCTCCCCTTTCGATCCCCCATCCCCACCCCCTTGGTGGGGGCCATCATCTAAACCTTTACCAAATTTTACAATTAGCATTGCACGTAATGTTTCTACTTAACGACTTTTCGGATGTCCGGGCGCCGCGGCGCGCGGCGTCTTGTCGTTCGTATTTTGGAAACGAGGAATGCTGGACATACGGGACGCCTTCGACGATTTGCGGGACTATTTTATTAAATATTGCAATGCGGGGTTTCAACTGTCATTACGGGACGGTCCCGCAGAATGCGGGACGGTTGGCCGCCTTACTTCGGTACTTCAGGGTGGCAGAGATCACGAGGATCGGTATGGTACTCTGATGCACAATACTGTGATGTGGAAGGTAACGGGAAACCATCACATTATGATATACCGAGTATAACACACTAAAGCTGAAGTTATGGTGTCCTCTGGGGTAAAACACTCCGGATAAAATATCCCTAATTTCGATGTCCCGGCGGGGACTAACTCGGCGGGTGTCATCATGTGTAATAAGGGAGGATGCAATATTTTACGAGTCGGAGCGTGGAATGTTAGGACATTGAAGCAAGGAAATTAGAAAATTTGAAAGTTGAGATGAATAGATTAGAATTAGATATACATAATAGGCAATACTGAAGTCCGTTGAGCAGAAGCCGGAAACGTCTGGAGTGGAGGCTTTAGAATAGTGCATACAGGATTGGTGGAAGGTGATTGGGGGGTACGAATTGTAATGCGTAGGAGAGCAGGACAGAGTGTAGAAAGTTATTTACAAAAAAGCGATAGGATAGTTATGGTTAAATTAAACTCGAAACCGGTAAAAACGGTATTAGTTCAGGTCTACATCATCTTACAATAATGAAGACGTAGAAGCGGTTTATGCAAATATAGAAGACGTGTTAAGTTTAGTAAAAGTGCAGAAAAACCTAATAGTTGTATTAGACTTAAACGTACTAAGATGTGATAATGATGATAGAATTTTACGATAAACATAATTTAACCGTTGCGTATATTTTATTTGACTATCACGTTGGGAGACGTTATACGTGGAAGATGTCAAGTGATTAAGGGAGATATCAGTTAGATTACATTCTGGTTAGGCAAGGACTGTACGAGTTATCCAGCAGCAGATATAGATAGCGATCACAAGCTAGTAGTTATGAAGACCAATCTTAAATTCAAAATTCTGAAGAAGAGGGAAACGTCATTTTAGCAGATTTTTTGTCATATCTCATAAACAAATGATCCAATTTTGATAAAATTGGTATTTGTAGATTTCTTTAAGGCTCATAACTAAAAATCGAAAATTTTCGTACACCTCAAAAGAAATGAAGCCTAAGATAGGTACATTGCAATCCTGACATTATTCGCATCCTAAATTCAGCTTATTCCTACCTAGAACCATTTTTTTTGGCAAAATTACCGCATAAAGGTGGGATTATACACGGTGTAGTAATGAAATTTTACGACACTGATGAAGCTGAAAAAGTCGTATACCTAGGCAGTATATACCTCTATTAAATTTTATTAGTTTCATTTAGTTTCATTTTTATGAAATTAATACAATTAATTCCTACATATGTATATGTACATATGCATAAATACAAGTCAGAAAGCTTATTATAGTTAGAAACTTGATTAAAATAAAAGTATAAAGTTAAATACAACCTTTTACTAATTGTATAATCTTTAAATTTTTAAATTGCCGCGGATGCATCTTGTAAGGCTACGTCTGCATTTTGGTTGTTAATGCGCATGCGCGATCGCCAAATTAGTATGAAATAAATAATGTTTTCATCTATGGTTATGCGTAATGCCTATAGCAGGTGGTTTTGCAACGGTGACACCGCGTTAATCGTGATGAATTTTCAATTATTGCAGAAATACAGTAGTGGTAATGATTTTTTGATTTATTGTTAGCTTCGATTCGTATCAACCGGTTGCAGGTACGTGAGTGACGTGCAGTACTATCGCGGTTAGGTGAAATCAGCAAAAAATCGGCGTTTATCGTGTGCGTGATGCGAGGACTGTCGTTATTAGGTAATGAAGAGATCGGCGGCCATTTTTGTGTCGACAAGTAAAGGTAAGACTTAACCGACTCTTATCTCAATGTAAACATAAATATTATATGTCTGTTCTTAGCCAATAAACACCAACACAAAAGCATATTTGCATTACTATATATACATATATATCTATAACAATACACCTGTGTTAGGTAGGGTTAATTACCTAGTCAAATTTAGTGCATTTCAAGATTTTTAGATTATTGACATTTCGTTATTATCCTCTGGTTATATTAATTGTCAACATGCTAGTTGCTCCTTATCTGTTACTTTTTCTTTATACATATTTAAGTCTACAGGTACGTAAATAAATGAATATTCATACTCATACTAATATTTAAAAAAAAAACAGGAATTATTTATTTATTTATATATGGACTTAAATGCAACAAAAAAAGCAACAAATTAGGGACAATTAGTAATAAGATACAAAACGTAAACTAGATAGGTATGTTGACAATTAATCTAACCTTAGGAGAATGAGGAAATGTCATAGAAAGGTTGGCAAATAGGTATCTATGTAATCAAAAAATACTGGAGTGCTCATCAAAATCGATTAATTAACCCTATTCAGTATCAGTACAGTGGAGGATTAAACAAATTAGGTGTAGGTTTTATGGTACCAGTAATACAAAGATTTTATTATAATACCTTTTACGTATTTGCGTATATCTCACATTTACATAAAAAATCCCTCATAACAATCTTCGGCAAGTAGGATTGCTACCAGGCGGGTTTTTCATTAACAAGGCCGGGTACTGGTTAGAACTCGATTTTCTTACCATTCTCCAGGGAATAGATAGATATCTAATTCAGAAAAGCAGTTAGAAATAAGAAATGAAATCGTAACCTTCAATCTGTTGATGAATAGTAAGATTTATTGTCTATAATTCGATCTGCCTACTTTCCGGGATTCATCGAGTGAATGCAGGTAAAATTTATATGTTCGTTGTGGGTTCTTACTTGCTGTATCGTAATACTAGCAAATATGAGTGATAGTGATAGTGAAACGCCACACACACCACCAAAGACAATAGTGAAGAAAAGAACCTGCCAATTTAACAATATCCGGATAATCTTAACAGGGAAGATGGATTAAAAATAAGCAGAGCATGGAAACCACTGCCAAGAAACAATCGATCATACATTGTGAACCACTGAAGATGTGATGTATTGCCATCAGTTGATTGCGAAACGTGTGCAATCAGAATTCGACCACGGCGGGAAAGCCCAGAAGCTCTTCATCATCACTGACTTATTGACACATACTGCAATGCCAAGGCTAGCAAGTGATAAACATCCTAACCTAAAGCCAGATGTACTATGTGCAAAATTATATTCAAAGTAAAACATGACAGTATCTAATTAAGTAAAATCCCATAGTAAGTAGTACCACAAAGCATTTAAATTTAGAAAAAGTGGGTCAAAAAAATGTCCAATATTATAACAAAGGATCAGTTATCAGATCCACCAACATTTGCTGAATGTTAGAATTTGTTTTTTATCATGTTTTATTCCGTTTCCAATCGTCAATCAATCTTAGAACAATCTCATTGAGTTATTACAGATGTGCGTGAAATTATGTCTGATTTAAGTGAAGTGGTTTAATTTTGAAAATAACGTTTTTCTATTATTTCAAGTATTAAATTTGAAAGGTCGAATTCCGGAACTACATAAATAATGTTAATTCATCTCGAAGATTGGTAATATGGAATCATCAAGACGCTGATGATGATAATCTTTATGAAGAACTATCTTTCTTTTATTGATAAAGATATTCTTTTTCAAGATAGTTGTATTTGTTCCTTGTAGGAATGCCTATGTGGAAAGGATTTTCAGTACTATGAATCAGATATGAAGTGACGACAGGAACAGTTTGTCAATTGATATAGTGAAAGCAGAACTTTGTATATTAAATATGCTTGTTTACAATAATTGTTTTTATTTCATGTTGTATATATTTGTATTTTTTTTAGAAATTAGTTTTATTTAACGTTATTACAAAGTTAATTTTATTAAATCTAATAAATTATACTACTTAGGTTATTTGTAATAATAATTTTAGTAAAATGTGTGATCATCAAAAATCGCCCTCAGGACCGGGTTTCGGTTAATAAAAAGGTGGCAACTCTATCGACAAACAGTGCAATTTATCACTAGATAAAATAACTTCCTCTGATTACATCCATCATCGTAATAATTTGATCTTAAATTGCCCTGAACTAATCGAACTGGAATTGACTGGGTGTCCTAACCTAACCTAATCCAATCGAGTGGGTGCCCGGGCTCCCGCGGACTCCCCCTGTTGCGCCCTTGGTCATTACGATTAACGTGATTATAAATGCGCTCCAACGAAATCGGCAATTATGAGGTTACGGTTGGCAAAGGATTCCCTCGTTGGCATATGTACTGTACTATCTATCAAAGGTTTATGTTAGGTTAGGTTACGGTAGGAAACGTTTCTCTGACTGTATTGTTGTGAATGACGTCGATCCGTTCAAATTCGGACGTGTTTAACTTTAAGTAAGGTTTTATTTAGTGCAAAAATCCTTATCATTGTTCTTTTTTTTTGCGGGTTAAACGTCAACTGCTACGATTCTGACTAGGACTTTTTAATTACGTCACATACAAAGAAGTTTCCACTGTAGTGTTTGGTTGTCGCGCGTGTAATGGATAAATTTGTATGCGTTTTGGCAGAGGCGCTAACATTATACATACGTACAGCGCCGGACCACCCACCTTGTCCGGTAAATGCGGCTGCCAGCGTTGTCAAATGGCATGTCAACTGTCGTGTAAAACGGTCCCTATCTAATTACTACAATAACATATTTGTAGACGCCAATTTTTTGAGTTAGCGCCAGTGTCGATCGGCCTTATGTGTTTGTCCAGGCAAATTGAAGGGAACAAAAAATACCTGCGGCATTCGGTGTCGAATGGAGTAACGACCTGGACGCCGGCGACGTCCGCCGACGCGACACAACACGACACCGGGAATAGGTGACATTTAAGGGTAAAGTTACCGTTTATACACTGTAAAAGCTTTCTCTAATGTTGAATTCGATGTGACAAGAGGATTTTTTTTGTAATAGCTTTATGTAGTTTTAAAAAATGTATAATAGTAGAAAGATTGCTTTTTAATGTTGATTAATATAAATAAGACTACTATTTTGTTTGATAAGATTACTACTGTTATCAGTTGCTCTTTATTCGGAATTTCTGTACTTTTTTACTATTGCTTCAATTGAATACAGAAAGTCTACATACTTTTATATTTTCCTTATTTTTTGTTCGTTTTAAAGCTATCATCTTTTATCAATTTTATTGTAAAACTTAATAAGTTGTGATTTCCATTAAAAACTCATTAAAAAAAATCGGCAACTATAAATTGTTGATCGTTATGGGCGTATATAGGTAGAGGCAAGGGGGGCACACCCCCTCCCCCCCTATCTAGCTCGTTGCTCCCCGTGGGAAAGGCTGACGAGCCTCGATACCGGCACAGTTTAAAAACATAGAAACCAAACATATTAAATTTATATAAACTTATGGCTATTGAAACTTTTATAATCTTATGGTGGCGTAACTAGATTTTGGTACTCCCCCACCACAAAACAAAATGTTGGCTCCATGAACTATTGAAAATTCAATGATTAGGAACAAGGGAAAAAGTAATAAGTGCAATATTTTTTATAATTAAAAAATAACAAAAATATATAATAAATCACATATTTAATATAAAATTAAATTAGATGTTCTTTGGGCGGTTTTATCAGCAAAATTCGTTATTAAAAGTTTTTAAATTTTTTTTGCTGCATGTTTTTTTAATCTCAAAAAGAGCGAAATTGCTTATTAAAAATAATAATAGTAATAAGGCAGTGAAATATTATTCTAATCCAAATGGTACATTATAATTTTGTGGTAAATTGTGTTGTAGTTCTTTAACTGCGCGGCCCCCCGCATTGCCGGATTTTGTGGACCCTATTTATTCTACTGTGCTCTTATGAAAACAAAGTAATAACTGTGAGTGCGTGTTGGCGTTAAAACAGGATAAATTTACTTAATTTAAATTAATTTATAATTAGTACCAGTACACCTTAAGTTAGACGAAATGTACTAGAAGCATTGGTAGATTGCTAGTTTATTATGCAAGCGGCCCGAGCAGTTCGCATCCTTTTTTTTACGTTGAAAGGATAAAGTGACACAATTAATCGAATTTTGACCATACTCGATGGTGGTATTCACTATTGTATTTAAGTGAGGTACCATTATTTCCTATTTGATTACATTATATGATAGTTGGGCATCTCTTAAAAAGAATTTTTTATTTTGTTTGTTACTTACAATGTTCTGTTGTGGGTGTCGAGGAAACCGCGTATTGGTAACTGTATGAATCTGGGACCGGTGACGGCGTGAGCGCGTCTTGATTGTCTTGTAGTGGACTGATTGGCGCTTTTAGATAAGAATTTGTCACCGAAGAGGGGTCAGGATAGGGTGGAAGTAAACTGGACGGCGAGCTCCAGTCTCTTTCACATTGCTGTTGATAAACTCCCGCATAATCGTAAGCGGGAAAGTGAGATCCAGTCACTGTCGACACTTGACCCGATTGTGCGCCATACGAACACGTAGAGAAGTCTTGAGTTTGCACTAAAGCTTGATGGTCATAACCGCTAACTTGATTTATCATCCCGGGCATGTTGTTTCCGAAAAACGAGGCCGGATGATACTGGGGCTTCATAGCTTGGCACTTCCTTCGGAAACCTCGTGGACGTCTCCTGAAGGATCCTTCCTCGAACATGAACTCGCTCGATGGATCTATTGTCCAGTAATGTCCTTTGCCGGGCCTTCCCAGTCCTTTAGGTAACTTTATAAAGCATTCGTTCAAAGAAAGATTATGCCGAACTGAATTCTTCCAACCTTGATACGAACCACGAAAGAAGGGAAACCTTTGTTGAAGAAACGCGTATATTTCGCTCAGGGTAAGTCTTTTGGTAGGTGAATGCTGGATGGCCATAACTATGAGGGCTATGTAGGAATAAGGCGGTTTCTCTTGCCGTCGAATCCCGGACTTTTTTTCTGTCGTTGAGGGTTTCGAATCGATGTCGGACGTGGTGGATGAAGTTGTTTCTGAGGGACCATGTTGTTGTTGCTGCTGTTGCGATTGAGATTGAGTTTCGAGTTGTTGTTGCTGCTGCTGTTGCTGGTCAGTCGCCAAAATAACGCTGTGCTGGTGCAGGTGAAGATGATGAAGGTGCTGCTGGATGTTGATGCTCTGGTGTACGACTGACGATGGCTGTAACTGCTGCTGATGGTCGACGGCAGTGTTATTTGTTGCTACTGCACCACCTACGTCAGACAACTGTTGCTCTTTCATGGTTGAATCCCGTAAACATTTACACTCCGCACACAGTTAAAACTAAATCCTTGTCCAAACAATTTAATTCTCAATGGCTCCGTTTCTCGGTTATATTACAAACATTTGATACGAGTCTGTGAGCGGCGTTACATACACAAATATTGTATACACAGTTTATATACAAAACACGCGACGATCTTGTACACAATTTATCCGTTTTATATACAAATGTCGGCGCAGTAAATTTTGAGTGATATTTAATGTTTCTAGGCTGGCGTACGAATGGCCAGTTCCTATCGTTCCTACGACGGTTCCGCGTGCACTAGGATGCTCCGTCACGCCACGGGCACGGTGTCCAAAGACGACGAGATGCTTGTCTGGTGCCAATAGCGCGCGGACTGCATGTGTGTGTGGATAACATACATTCGAAACGCTTGTTGCGGCACAGGAGCGAATAAAATGTGTGTGTGTGTGTGTGTGTGTGTTTTAAGAATGTGTGTGTGGATGTAAACGTATGCGTGTGTGTTTGGTGTTGGATGCGTGGGATGGCACGTCTCTGCCTCCCCAACCTCCTTGGCTTGTCACTCTTCTTACTGTTTTTGGGACTGCCTCCGTCCAAGTAAAGACGGCCCCTTGAATGAAAACTTACCTCTTTAACCGAGATTAAATTTCCTTACCTACGAATAATTATATTTTAAACCGTTTTATGAATCTGTTATCCTAACAATAGCTTGTAGGTACTTTTCTTATCAGGATTTATTAAGGAAGCGAGTACTACTTCATCCTTGTTCTTTTTTTCCTAAGTGAAATCCTTGTGAATTCAAAAAAATCCACAGACGTCGCGTATGAAGTGTGCAAGTATATTAGGCGTATTGAAAATACCAGACACACCACCTCAAATTCTAAGTTGTCCGAAGAATTAGTGATCATTGCTGTTTCAATTGATTTTGGTATAATTGGTGTTATGGTTTGTGATGATGAGAAACTGCCAGAGCAGAATCATTTCAAACAGTTGAAATTTCTTGCTGTAGATTATTTTCTTGGAAGTAGTAGACAATATACCAACTCCCGGGTTTCCTCAACCATGCTACTGTCCAAAAAGCCAAAGGATTGATATTGGCCATCAGAAGCAACAATTTTTTTGGAAAAAAGAGAATCATCTTGATTATGTCAAATTAGAGATGGGCCGATACTCAGTTTGGATCCGATACCCGACGGATCCGGCATTTCTTTTAGGATCTGGCGGGCACACCGGATAATGAGGCCGGGTAATTTTACCAGAAAAAAAGGAAGAAACATCAAAAGCAATAATAATTTAATAAGTATGACAAAAGACCCGCTTAATGAAAATTGGTAATTAAGATTATATTGGCATAGGTCGTTTGTCTTAATCAGTATAAATTAGGATTAGCTCTCATTTAGGTTTAGTTCACTTCAGTCCCTGAAGAAGGTAACTTTGTTACCGAAAAGTGCTTCGGACAACTAAAGTGTCTTGTTTTGGCGTTGGGGTTTTGAGCTATTCTGTTTGTTCTTAATTTGTATTATTTATTGATTTGATTATTATACCAAGCTGTTTGTTACTTCGATATAGTTCTTGTGTTTACTTTTTCTCGTGAACAACAATACATCAGTATGACCGAGTTGTAACAATTTCTGTCGCTTGTTGGTATATCAGGTTTTGATTAACAATAATTTATTAGTATGATTTTGCCACCTTGCAGATTTTTAGTGTTTATAAACAATAGAGACTCGTTTCTACGGTTTCAACTCGATCCTTCCGTTGAAAATCCGCCAATCAAGAATTAAAATTTATTGGTTTAGTGTTTAACTGACTTAATATAGTTAATCTGGGATGTTGGTGAGGGTGGTATTTAATGGAAAGCCTGCAAAAGGAGGACGTGAATAATTTTCCGTATAGTGGTTTTACCGAGTACCCGGTACAGCTAATGCCGAGTATCCGGTTTTGTAACCTGACAAAATCTCTATCCGGTGTATCTCTATGTCAAATATTAAACACCAAGAAAATCTATTTGATCTACTACTCTATACAGAATGGCAGGCATAATATAGTCGACTTTTTTGTAATATTTATCTATATCGAAGCCAGCCTGTAGAATTCTGCAGAATTTTTAGTTGTGAGAACCATCAACTAAGCATAAAAAGTGTCTTTCTTAATAGTCTAAGTAATTATTTGATTAGAAGTAAAGCAAACATTTTTCTGTAGTTCGGGGTTTTCCTGGGTTAATAATTTATGTTTCTACAAATGCCAAGTCCTGTAGTTATAATCATTAATATCAATATAAACGACAGATCATCAAAGTGACCATCAGGCATCATATTCATCAAGAGATGGATGATTTAGACCAGCGGTTCCTAAATAGTTTTCCGTGGAAGAATCGCAGGAGTTCCGTGAGATTATATAGGAAGTCAGCATCTATTACTCCTTCTACACAAGGAAGTGAGATGGTTTTCAAGAGGAAGAGTTGGACAACTAATTTTAACATCCGTTAGTCGTGTCGAACTGTTGCATGATGAGAAATGGATATTAAAATTAACTTATTTGGTCGATAGGTAGAGGTACTCGATAAACTCAACGTTATCAGTAGGTCCTTACAATGAGGAACCATAACTACTTTTGCTGTGAGATACAGAATGTCTCTAACGATAAAAAAAATGGATTCTAGATGGAATATATTGAATAGAAAAGTTATGTACGATTTTTTCCTTTTCTAAACAGATTTGTCGAAGAAAATGAGTTGCAAGTAACTTCATCAGATGTGGATAAAACCATAAATGAACATCCATTGAACCTCAAAAAATCCTTAAAAGAATATTTTCCAAAGAAGTTACAGGATAGCTACTGAGTACACAGCCTATTCGCAAATTAAACTAAACCATTAATGTTAACTGTGTCGGAGTATGAGAACTTGATCGATCTTGAAACACCTCTCTAAAACAAAAATCCGAATCAGCTGAGGTGAATATTCTGCAGTTATTGATCATGATTTCTATGTCACTTTGTATCAACTTACTGGGGTCTTAAACATGAAATTATTATGAGTTCAGTTTTTGTCGTGATGGGATTCCGCCAAAAAAAGGTTAGTCAAAAAGGGTTCCGCAAGCAAAACAAAAATCGGGAACCGCTTATCTAGACTATGCAGATATTATAAATTGGATATTTGGTTGAATACCTACTTTACCCAAGTAAATAATCTCAAAAGGTACAGGCCTACCGTAGTATCTATTGACTGAAGGATAGGTAAAAGGGGTATATTAAGTTGTCTGGTTTATGTCGTCATCCGTACGGGCAGTTGCAGGTTTGTGCAATTTTAAGAAAACATCACTCTCTTGAGATAATAATCTTTTAAACTCGTCTGTTTTAAAGTGTATAATAGGAGGAGTGTTTTAAGAATGTGTGTGTGGATGTAAACGTATGCGTGTGTGTTTGGTGTTGGATGCGTGGGATGGCACGTCTCTGCCTCCCCAACCTCCTTGGCTTGTCACTCTTCTTACTGTTTTTGGGACTGCCTCCGTCCAAGTAAAGACGGCCCCTTGAATGAAAACTTACCTCTTTAACCGAGATTAAATTTCCTTACCTACGAATAATTATATTTTAAACCGTTTTATGAATCTGTTATCCTAACAATAGCTTGTAGGTACTTTTCTTATCAGGATTTATTAAGGAAGCGAGTACTACTTCATCCTTGTTCTTTTTTTCCTAAGTGAAATCCTTGTGAATTCAAAAAAATCCACAGACGTCGCGTATGAAGTGTGCAAGTATATTAGGCGTATTGAAAATACCAGACACACCACCTCAAATTCTAAGTTGTCCGAAGAATTAGTGATCATTGNTAAAAATTAAGATGAACAAGTTCGTATTAGTTATTTGATTATCATCATCATAAGGTCGTCAGTCCTAAGACTGGTTGGACACGCACCTCCACTTTTTCCTATCCTGAACTAATCTTCGCATTTCCCTAAAACTAGAGCAACCCATATCCTTAACTAACAGGCGGGCTAAAAAATTCGCAGGCTAGCATAGAAAAAATTATTTTTTTTGATAGAATTTGATTTTATTATTCAATATAGTTCCCTTCGAGGGCGATACAACGATTATAGCGGTCAGACAATTTTTCGATACCATTTTTATAGTACGATTTGTCTTTAGCCTCTTTATCGGCGTGAAATTTCTGTCCAGCGAGCATTCTCTTGAGGTCTGAGAACTGAAAAAAGTCGCTGGGGGTCAGATCTGGAGAGTACGGTGGATGCGGAAACCATTTGAAGCCTAATTCATGGAATCTTGCCATCGATTTCCTTGATTTGTGACACGGTGCATTGTGTTGATGAAACAGCACTTTCTTTTTCAAATAATAAAAACTTAGACAGAAATAGTGCAACAGCTGTCAAATTTATACACGTGTCTTTTGAATGTTAGGGCTAACTAAAAATCATATGGATTTTAAAACTAGTAGACCCCGCCCTTGTATTTGCGAACAGTAATCTAATATAGGTCTACCTCTACCCCTCCTAACTTTCGTTTCTACCTCTAATATGTCTCTGACTAGACATTCATGCCTGAGAAGGTGTCCTACTAAACTATCTCGCCTATTTCTTACTGACTTCCATAGAGTCCTCTGTTCTCCTATTCTTTTTAATACCTCTTCATTTCTAACCTCTATCCACGGTGTCCTCATCATTCGCCTGTAACACCACATTTCGAACGCTTCTAACCTTTTCTTTTCCGGCGCGCTCACTGTCCGTGTCAATTAAATTACTCAGTACTTTAATGTTGATGACGAGAATTACCACACTATTAAAATTAGTGAATTTTGTACCTATACAATATGTACTAAAATACCGATTGCAAGAAATTGAAAATTAGGCCTCCACTTTTATTAAGGTTAGGCTTGGGACCTCCCAATTCCCGTCATGTTATGGAATGTCTCGTCACTGATGCACGTGGACACTTATTAAGGATAGGTACTTTCCCTCAGATATATTAATTTTTTTTTATATATCTGAGTAAAATATAAATTATTGCCACCATTGTTAGATCCGTAACTACAATATACATAAAGACCTTCATCAATAAATAGTCAAATGACAACAACTACATAAATAGTTGTTGCTTACGTAACTTGCTGATGTGGTTTTTCTGATTTAATTTTTTGCGGTTTTTACAACGGATATTAAAGTCTGCTAGATTTAGAAATATAGAGTAATAAATCTTGTCGAACATCTGGCTAAAGTCGCAGTACTATCTGTTGATAAATGACTCTGGGTGGGGCTCGATGTCAGGAGGGTGTGTTAGTTGTGTTCAGGGCTATTAGTTAAAGAGATATGATTTATTTAAGAGACTGAGGATGTTTTACATAAAAAAGGGAATTCC